AGGAAAAAAGAGAACCTGCCAAGAAGCTTCATCTAGCAGCATACCCCTGGTGTCATAAAGTACCGAGACCTTTAATTTTAATAGAAAGTCTAACTGAAAAGCTGTTCATCATTCTCAAGCAGTTTATTTGTTTAGTTGGTTTGCTTTGCTTTAAAGAGACAGAAAGCACCAGATTGTCAGCAAATCACTGTTTCAGGCACCTGAAGAGGGAATAAAACTCACAAGAAGACTATTTGCAGACTTTTGCTGCACTTTATGTTCATGCTTCAGGTCTGGTGATAAAGTGTTAGGAGAAAAAAGTCACCTATAATCTAAGCATGTTAATCTCAGTGTCTGTGACCTGCTGTAGAAATAAATGCTTGAAGGTACATTTCCTTTAAAATATATGTAATTACATGGAGATGAACACTCAACATTCAAGGCCCTGCATCACAAAAGCCCAAGGTAATGCGTTGCTATAGTTCATAAAGCAAGTAAGATGGAAAACAGATTAAAGGATGTGAAATATATTTCATATTTCTTAAGCCTATTTTCTAATGCTCTGGAAAAGTTGGAGATGCTTCTAACAGGAATAATCTGCAAACACCATAGCAGGCCTTTACCAAGCTTGGAGATTTGGAAGCACTTCTGAGGGACCAGCCAGAGATGGAGACTAAGTCCATAGTGACTGGCCAAGAGGCTCAAGAACTGGAAGTTTGCAGGCTGAACTTTCTGGCATTTGATTTAACAGATAGAAGCAAGAGAATGGGGACTGTGAACTCCTGCTCCTTCGGCATGCAGTGCCCTGAGAAGGCTTTTTGAGCTGGGCTAACTGCACTACTGTTTGACTATCAAGCCCTATGGGAACTGTCTCCTGGCAAACACACCAGCAGGATATTTTTCTGACAATGGAATCAATTAAAGAGGGTGCTGAATTCAGGAGCTCTTGCCTTAGAAGTTACTCTCCTTCATGGTCTCCTCTGAGGATGGCCATGATCAACAATGCCTACATTACACCACCCAAAGCACACTAAGAGGAGGTGTGAAGCTTTGCAAGTAATGAGTTGGCTGTCCAGCTACAGATTCCAGGCTGCAGCTTTCAATTTGAGAGACTGCCTGAGATTCAGAGTCTGAGAAGGTAGTCTTTGGCTACACAGAAATATCCTAGGTGTGAGCATAAGACATGGAAATATAGAACAGCCTTACAACACCTTCTGCTCCGAGGCAAGGTGGGAACTCAGGGGCAGAAAAATGCTTTTGTCCTTGGTGTGCTTCAGTCATGTCCTGCTATTTCCCTTAGTTACCAAAGTTTATGAGGTTAAGAAATCAAGAGGGACTTTTTTTCCCTGTATTAACTGGGGAGAGTTAATTAGTGATTTAAGTCATGAAGAGTGGGAGCAGCATATTTATGGAGCAAAGCAGTCTTTGGCATTTGAAAACAAGTGGACTGGGTTATACTTCTTATGCATTAGGAGCAACTTTCACAAGCAGAGAGATACAAGAGAAGATGAGAACACTCT